GAGGTGGGGCTCCTGGCAGGCCAGGGCTGACAGGTGTGGGTTCTGGGGTTGGTGGACCTGGATCTGAGTCCCAGATTCTCCACTTGGCAGTGATGGAACCTTGGGCACATGGCTGCCCTCTTAGTTTCCTTGTCTTCTGTAGGGCCCATTCCATTCCATTCCATTCCAGGAAAAGCCGGCACACACTCGCACCCCTGAGGCAGCCCTGAGCGCACAAAGGGCAGCCTGTGCACCTATTGCTTACATGGTCAGCTGAGGACATGTGAACCTGCTGACCTGAGTCCTCCAGTGATCAAGGTGGTGCTGGTGGGAGCGGCAGGGATGGATCGCAGGCCAAGGGCAGCCCCAGCTCCCTGGAGTATTGGGTGAGCGCCCCACCCTCAGCCTGCACCCTCCATCAAGCAGGCAAAAGTGGGCCGCCTGTCCCACAAGCCGTCTCCTGGTCTCTGTGTGGTGCCGCTGCTTCATACTGTTTAGTGTCCTTTGCAATTGTGCCACCTTTGTGACCTGCACTGCACAGGACAGTTTGCAGATCCCTTTCCTGCCCATACCCTGGAGAATTGGTATCCTTGGCTCAGGTGACAGACAGACTTGAATTGGAATCCCAGCTCCTTGGCTGCCTCCCTGACCTCCACCCCTCACCCCCGCTACAGCTACATAGGCCTCCTATTGTCTCCATATCACATTGAGCTTGCACCCACCTTAGGGTATTTGTACTCGCTCTTTCTTCTGCCCAGGACATTTTCCCTCCCTGCTGGCCCACTCATTTCACTCAGGTCTTTACGCAGGTGTCACTTCCTTACAGAAATCTGCCCTGACTACGTCATGTGCAGTGGCCCCTCGCACTCTCTACCCTGCCTCAGGTTCTTTATGTGCTCATCACCACTCGCACCCATATTTCTCCATGTATTCGCAAACCGTTGGTCTCCCTCACAGGAACATTAGCTCCATGAGGGAAGGTCTTTGTGCTCTGTCCCTGTATCTTCAGTGCCTGGCACAGGTCTGACACACAGTAGACACTTAGGGAAAGGTAGTAGTTATTATCAGAAAAGTAGATCGGGGCTTAACGAATCAGGCCATGTCATGTAGGTGGCGAGCTCCCTGTCCCAGGAGGCATGCAAGCAGAGTTTGGGATTCAAGGCCTCATGCAGGTTGGATGGGCTGTAAGTTTTGGTGATGGTCATAGCTGGGCTCCTGAAAGTTTATGGGACGGGGCTCTCCCGGGATTCCCATTGTGCCTCAGAAGAAACAGGCCAGAGAATAAAAGGCTGACCCACATCTGCCTTCAGAGGGAGGTTTGAAGGTAGGGCCAGGGAGAGAGGGAGGGGGGTTTCAGGTTTCCTGTTGGGCCCTGATAGAATCAGGGCATAAGAGGAGGAAGGAGAGGAAAAAGGAGGCACCTAGGCTGGGGGAGGAGGCAAAGAAGGTGAAAAATGGGCGGGTGGGGGGAAGATGGGCCTACTGAGGCCCAGAGCCTGTGCCTCTTCTCTTCTCCTAGGTTCAGAAAGTGCACACAGGAGCCACATGTGCCTTTTGAGTCTGCCTTAGTGCTGGAGGCCCATGCTCAGCAGGCTCAAGGATGGTCCACAGTTTGGGAGCCATAGCCAGCCTTTTTGGGCCTGCTGTCCCAAAAGGGGGGACCAGGTGAGGCAGGAGAGGAGTTTCTCCCTCCTGGGTACCCTGGGTGCCTCTCCTGCCTCGCCCTCACGGCCCTGTTAACTCTCCATAAAACAGTGTCCATCAAATGGATATGGATTTCCAATTTGACCATTCCAAGCATCAGGCAGCTCACCACCTGACTTTCTAGTTCTAGACCATTCAGTTGCTGCAGAGGGACTAAGTTTGTTGGGACCTTGCTGAGTGGTGGGTGCTTCATACACTTGCTCTCCTAGAATACCCCCTCTGGAGACCCGGGGAGGAGGCTCAGAGGGCTTGCCCCCTTGGTTGTATCTGGGGTGGGGTGGGGTGGGGGACTATGGGGCTGGCTCTCAAGCTTCCACCCCCGAGACAGCCTCAGCACCCAGCTTCTGCAGAGATTGGTCAGCAGATCTAGCTCCAGGGAAGAGTGAGATGGGGGCTGGTCCGGCCATGAGTTCAGGGGACAGCTGGCCTCTCCACATGCCACTGGGTACCTCTTCTTGCTGCATCCTGGCCTAGACCGTGTCCTCTGCCCCAAGGCCAGCGCTTCTCTCAGAGACTTTGCTGACTCCTGCTGTCCTCAGAGGATCACTGAGTGACTGCCCTCTTCCTCCCAGCTCCTCTACAGTCTGGATGGGATGGAGGCAGAGCGCCAAGATGTAAGAAACAGAAGAGCAAGAGGCAAGGAAACGTGCTGGAGAGGAGAGAAGGGTGGGGCAGGAAGGCGAGGGCTTCAGAAACGGGACACAGTAAGGAAAGTGGAGCGATGGGGTCTGCTTTGGAAACTAGCCTGGACTTGGGCCTGAGCTCTGCCTCCAGCCACCCAGTAAGGCGAGGGCCTCTTTGGTTGTGTGTTTTTGAGGTGAGTGAATGTGAGCACCCACAGGCGGAGGAGAGAAGGAGGTGGAGGTGCTAGAGAAGAATTATTTTATCCTTGGCAACACCTACAAGGCCATGGAAGGACTTGGAAAAGGGGGAACTGGGTATATGTGAAGATGAGGTTGGATTTCCTCATTTGGGCTCCTGGGGAGGGAGAAACACTGGGGCCAGGAGGGCTCCATCCCCAGCACCATCTGCTCAGTCACCATGCCTGCCTGCCCAGGACCTGGCCCCCTCCAGGTTGGCAGGAGCCTGGCAGCAGGAGAAGGGCTGGGCTGGTGCTGTGGTTGGAGGCTGGATCAGGCCCTGCTGGTAGTCTGCTTGGTCACAAAAGCCTGCACTGGTACCTGTGCTGCAGGCCAGGCTCTGTTCATCTGGGTGTGTTGAACTATGACCTCACACAGAAGGGGAGATAGACCAAGGTACCCCCTCAAAAAAACCCCAGAGCCTGTCACCCTGGGGCTGACATGCTGCCTTCCTCACCTGTCCTAAGGGTTAGTTTGCCTCTTGGCCTCCCAGGACTCTACAGTGAATGAGTCAGGCTTTCCCTGGACCACTGGGGGGCTATGAGACTTTGGGGGGGCAGGGAGGACTTCACTGACCTCACACATGCACACCATCCCAGACCCAGGTCCCTCTGTAAAGGGACATCTGTGAGGGGAGTCAGGAGACCCAAGTATTTGGATGTGTGTTTGGGATAGGGGTTTCCCTTCCTCACTGGGCCTCAGTTTCTTGGTAGTGACCTGTTATCATGTGTTCATGGCATGGGGGTGGGGGCCCCATGCTGCTACTGACCCAGGACGGGAGGTCCCCACACCCTGGGCTTTAAGCGCCCTTTGGTACTGAGCACACCACCCATTTCTCCTTTGCTTTCATGCCAAGGAGATGTGATTGTCCCATTTTCTAGCGGATTAAAGAGGCTTCGAGCGGTGTAGACCTGATCGGGGTGTCAGCGAGCCAGAGGTTTCAACACAGAGCTTGGGGGGTGTTGGTTATCCCAGCCGGGGCCCTGCGCCACGCCGGCCGTGCCCACTCCGCCGCACTTAGGCACTTAGCAGAGTTGGCAGCGGAGGTGCCGGGGGCTGGGCCCGAGGACGGTGACCGCGGGTGACCCAGGCGCCCGCAGGTAACCCC